AAAGTCACATGTTAGAAGTTCAAATGCTTCGTGTTAAAGGTTATTATGGAGTTTAATCTTAACTCATTCCAACCCAGCATTTTACTTGGATGTGATGAAGTACAAATAGCATGAATGAAGGAAACCGTACAGAAGAAAAGCATAAGCAAGTTAAAACTATTCCCACCTACAGGAAATTCACCTTGAGGTAAAAACAGTATTAAAAGTAAGCCACAAGCTTTTATCTTTTCTTTGTTGTAATACACTGATTATATATAAGTTTTTCCTTTTGCTGCTCGTTAATATTGATTAACAGGTCTGATAACGAGGCAAAGCATGTGGCTATTACACTGAAGCTCACCATTTCACAGAGCACCAATGGTAAAGGCAGAAAAATCAGCAGCAGCATCTCTGCACGTGACTGCTTGGTTCTTGGTTTAAAACACTGTTAAGAGACTTGTGAGATGGAGAGGAGGAGGATCACGATGTGGAAACCCCCCCTCCTCGTTTATGTCAGCCCTCAGCAATTTCAGCTGTATGTATTAATGCTGTAGCAAGGCACTTATACATATTTATATGACACACACCAAGCACTAGAGAAATGCTGGCAGGTGGAAATGAGTGACTAAAGGATGCAGAAGGCAGCAGGTTGCAAGCAGCAACCTTAACACCTACCACAATGATATTTCAGTGCATACTTCTTGTGAGCGTAGAGAAACTAATTTCCCCCTGACATCAAAAGAGATTCTGCTGAGCTTCAGACTTTCCTCTGCAAATAACCAAGGTGTTAGAGTTCTTGAAGAAGGGTTGGAAAAACTCACAAGATGGAAAGTTTTAAGCCCTCTAATCATGAAGATTACTGCCTTATCTCCTACCATAATCCCAAGATCCTGAAGCTGCTCCCAAGAGCAAGAACTCAATGTGCTAAATTTTGACTTGGAAGGCTTCCATCTCTGTATTTTGATATTTGGTGTGAATTGTCTAAACTAACACACTAACTCCTTTTTTGCTAACTGCTAAAGAGGAAGGCTTCATTGTAGCTGCTTTCTGAAATAAGGCCTCCTTTACTAGTCTCTCCTTTACACCTCAATGGTAGTGCTGGCAAGAAGGCTCAGAAGGTCAACCAAATTAAACTTCCTAAACTAACCCATACCAAGTGGGCTCTTGCTTATGTGCAACTGCTACAGTGTCACTGAACAAGAATGTTCCCCCAAATTCTCCAACATTCCTCAATAATGGCTGTTTTGTTAGACAGCCTGAATGCTTTTGCTTTCTCAAGGGACTGTTATTCAAACAGTGAAGTAACATTTTTAACTTTTCAGTTATATGAAAGCTGGTAAGAACTGAGCCTTCCTCTCAGCGTTTACTGATGTGACAGCCTTTACAAAGCGTCCTTAGAAACTAATTTCCATCTCATTGTGTGTATTTCTACTACCACCAACTTTCCGTATTTCAATTAAGAAAGACTGTGATAAACCAGACAACGCTCTAACTCATGGGAGAAATGCTGCAGACCATGGTGCAGCAACACCCTCCTGTCTCTGGGTGGACCCTTCATGAGTGCCCACTGGGTTTTTAAAACATGACTTCGCACTTCCTCCCCAGTCCAGCGTGGCTGGGCATACAAGGTCTTTACCTGCCCCGTGCTGTGTCTTCCGTCTTAAGACAACACTCAAGTTGCAGTGCAGAAGCCAGCTCAGATCTGACGGGGAACAATAGCTCTAGCTTCCTTTCTAGCAATCCTGGATTTGAGACAGCGCCTGCAGAGTCAGACTGTCTGTGCACTGACCTTGTAAGGTTCGATACAGCACTGAACCTGCACAGACACAGACATCTCCTCATAGATTTCTTGAAGCCAGCACAGTGAGCCAGTACTGAATCCAAGTGGAATAAGTTTGGATCTGGAAGAACCAGAGCTAGTAATCACAGGTAATGGGCTCCACCTAATGGCAGGCAAACTCCCTTCAGGGTTCATGCACTGTATTCCCCAAAGATTCCCACTTATGCACCATGTTCCTAAGATACCAGATCTCTTCCACATGGGCATGTGGAAGTCCATTGGGGCTTGCCAGTTTGATTTTTGTGATATGCAGAAGAAAATGCACTTTTTCCAAACCAGACGTGCCCCAGTTCTGGCACAGCTGTACTCATACAAGACTAAGCCTGAAATAAAGCTCATTCTGTATTGCAGCACAGCAAGTCCACAATCCAGATAAACCAGTTCCTGTGCCGAAAACCAGAACAGGAGAACAAAGTATTTTGACTGCTTTAATATTGAATGTTTTCCTGCAATTCAGAATCACCTTTTTGTTTCTTCAAGTGTGCAATATATTCCTGCTCTTTAACAAGCCCATTCCCAGGTCGGGTGTTTGTTCTTAAATAAAACTTTTACTGTAGCCAAGCTGACTTGCTTTGAGACGCTTCCTGCTTCCTCAGGGAGAATTTTTAAGCAATACTGACCTCTAGCTATTTTTTTGAGCTATTTAACCAACTCAAGTTGCTTTTTGAGAAGTTTGCATCAGCTGCCAAGATCTAATAAAATAAATATGATCATTTAAAGATGGAGACAGATCACAGAACCTCACCATCTGAACACATTATTCTACAGTCCTGGAGTAGCGCAGAGCAGCTCCCTGCAGTTGTCAGTGGGAAGAAAAAGAACCAGCACAATTGATGTTTTCAGTAATTGGGCACAATTAAATGAATAGTTTTCCTACTCCACCTGCAATACTCCACAGGAACTTAGCAGAAACGATCCCATTTCTTCCTCCCTCAGGGGGAACGCTCCCGCTCTGCCGATAGTCTGACACAACGTGCGCTCTGCACAGCTTCGGGGAATTGTCAAGGCTGGTACAGTGACAGCATATGTGAATCAGACATTCTGTTCTGCAAGCATACACTTAATTTGGCAAACTAATTTTTTTTTTTTAAGTCAATGGACTTCTTCAGCAAGCAGAGTTGATTATACATTTAACTGTTCATGTCTGAGCTATGTGGAAGGAGTAAAATATTAATCTCTCCCTTTAGCAGCCTGCTGCTCTTCTGAGCTCTTTCCAATTTGCTTATTGAGTTGATCTCTAATGAAATACAATTTCTTGGACAATCTCATCACAGAAGCATAATAAGTCATAACCAACTACGTGCTCTTCCCTGCTTCTTTGGAATGGAAGGCAAGATAGAAATGCTGTCACGTTTCCTAGAACATCACTACTTTTCACAGCCCCTCTGTGTGTTTTTGACGAAGTTACTACATAGGATACACAGACAGGAAAAAGCTGCTGTGCACTAAAGACCTTTTTGGCTCCTTTCAACAGCTGTCTCAGACTTCACTTATTCAGGAGTAAGAATACCTAAGCCTGCTCCAGTGAATCTGAAAGTGTAGATAAAATACAGACTTTCAGTTTTATGATTGGTGAAATGAGAACTTCAGGGGAAAAAAACTATAGCAAACAGCAAAAATCAATTAACGGGATAAATAATCTGAGTTTCTGCCATAGAAATGAATGTCAGCTTATGGCAGTCTATTAACCTTACAACACGGGACAAATGTGTTTACTATACAGTGCTGTCCATTATCTAAAATGATGATACCCACACATTCGTGCTTATTGCCTTCTCCAAATTAGCTACGTACTGAGGGATCATTAAATTGTCATAATATAAGGCCATGCAGAACAACAGTATCTGCTACCAAATGCTGTCTCCAAAATACAAAGACTCCTCACAAAAGCCAAAAGCAAAAGTTACAGTGAATACCAGGAGTAACATACACATTTCTCTGGAGCACAAAAGCAAACTGTGTGGGTTTGACTCTTGTATCTGTAAAGTCAAGCACATGCCAAGGTTTGGGTGTTTTGTGTTCTTTGATCGATAACAGGAAAATTTTAATTATCAGAGCCCCATAAAGTTCAAAGGACACTAAAAGCATTCAGTATTGAGACCTGTGGTACAGCATGAAAGTTAGGAGCCTAAAACAGCACAAGATTTGAGCCAGATGGAAAATTTAAGTATCGGAGGATTGACTGAAACTATTCTATCTGCTCTGTAATCAGGCTTAGAACAGGGGTCTAGATTTTCTTTTTCTCTTCCTCCAATAGACATTGAAAACTGCCGCAATATCTTATGTTTTTGATCAGAAACACAGAATTTTCTCAAGAGACCCTGCCAGTAAGAGCCGTTACAGACAGGAGGTCCATAATTGTACTGTTTTAGCAGTAGCTGGGTATCCATAGATCAGTAACAGCAGACTGTAAATAAACAGTGCATGTTGTGGCATTGTTTCAAAATCCCATACAAAATAAGGGCAAATTTCAAAGGTTTCCAGCTGCAAAATCATTCTGCAGTGTACTTACTTGAAATACATTTGTTAAATCTATGAATGCAAACACAGAATAAGCGTGCACTTCCACATCAAGGCAAGTGAACCCCACAGCTCACCGAGTCCTTGTCTGTGCCCACCTACCCTCACCCACCAGTAAACAGGACTTCAGCTGTTGACTTTCTCGGCCTTGCAATTTTGGTCCTTTTATTGACAGAACCACAGTCTACACTAAGATGGATTCAGAACTTGGAACTGAAGGCAAGGTGTCAACGAATACATTATACTTTAAGAGTTGTGCTTAATAGTAAAGGTTAACTATACATCATCACAAGTCAAGCAAGACAAAGAGACAGTAGTTAACTGAATACTAAAGCCAGACTGCCACCATCTGACAAAAGCATTGCAGTCTTGGGGATGAAACACCATGTACTTTCCCTTATTTATTTAGGTTTAAATCACATCAAAAGCTCCTAATTAACTAATATGACAAAAGATATTTTACCACTCCTAAAACAAACCAAGTAACATTCAGTATTAATTGCAGATCCAACAGGTAATAGCTGTCTCAAACTCTTAAGTATGTATATATGAATATAAACAATTTACTACTGCTCTAAGTACCTGAACTACAACCACATGAAGTGCAACTAGATAGGAAAGCAGCCTAACTTTCAGTTTTATTTTCAGCCAAGGTACTTACATGCCAAAGCGCAACGTTCCAGAGACGTACGTCTGCCAATGCGCGCAGTAAAACATGAATGTTCCAGCAAAACAACAAAAGAACATCCAGTCAGGGTTCGTTCCCAGCTGCACAGCAATACAAGTTCCCAAAACCACAAAGACTGCAGAAGAAAATCAGTCACATAGTAAAAAGATGAAGTGTGTACGTGCGTAAAGATCCTTACCAGAAACAAATCTAACAAGAGGACCCAGAGAAGGAGACAGGAGGAAGGTATCCTGATGTGTTTTATTTCACATACATGAGATTAACATTTCCATTTAAAAGAAGTACAGACTGAAAAATGTATATTTAAATTCATATCAGTTATCAGAAGTCCTCAGTATTGAGGGTTGCTTAGTCTCCTACATTCTTATTGAACTTAATGGGATTAGACGCCAAGGGACTTGAGAGATTTATGAAACTCCAGCCTGCAGCCAGAGTTTTGGGGGTTTCTCACGTACCCAGGATTTGCTGGACATCTTTTTCCACCCATTTTCTCAATTTTTATTATGCCTTGAAGAAAATCCAAGGTCTGTCATTCTAAGATTCATGCTCCCCCCCCTTTAAACACATGCTTTTGATAAAGCATTCATAAAAATTTAAAGCAGAAGAGCTTTAGAATTTAAATAACCAAAAGCATCTGATCATTCTTTTGCAATAGGGTTAAGCTTCAGGCTGGCTCAATGAACTCTACCTACCTAGAAAGGAACTGATCTTACTGATTCTAATCTTAACCTCAGACTTCTACCATCCCATTGTTTAGGCTTCATACCTGTCTTGCAATCGCTTTATATAGATTCGATCTAAAATAATATAGAAGAGCATTTTTGACAACTTCTTACAGAAATTTTTTTAGAACTAAGACTCTGATAAAGCATACACAGAAGACTGCTGGCTGAGATTGAACTAGTCACATTCTTAATTTTTTTTTTTTTTCCAGTGTAATACAAGAGAAGACATTCAGCTGATCAAGAGTACTGTCTATGGAAAGAAGGTTGACTGAAAAGCTATACATTCAGCAACATCAGTTGTCCTCTTCTTCAGTAAAGAAGCATTTTTCTGTATTCCAGATTTGATCCCTGAAATAGAGTCATTTAATCCTCATACTTCAATTAAAAATGACAATACCTGTGGAAAGTGAATCACAGCCATGATCAAAAAGTTCTCCTAACGGAGTACTGCTATTTGTCCTTCTTGCTTGTTTTCCATCTATAGCATCCAGAGACTGGTAGATGAAAAGGCCACATGCACAAGCAATGTATGCCCAGGGAGGTGCCTAAGAAAGAAAGGCAATGAGGGTAAGAGATCTTTTAAACCTTAAAAAAAAGCAGCAGCTTGAATTTGAACTATCTTACACTCTCGTACAGTGGTTTTTCATTTGCACACACTTCCTGATCACGTTCACAGACCTTGCAGAAGCTGTTCCTTGCAGGGACAGGCAGAGGGGGTTATGACATGTGAAATGTAAATAAACCAGTGACAAGCCTTACCAGCTTGGATCAACAGGCAGAGCACGATTCCTAAAGCAGCAAGCTGCACTGTGCATCTGAAAAAAGTTTAGTACTACATCTGCAAAGCAGTGCTTAAGCTCTTGTCTTGCTTCTCTTTCCTGTTATGTGCAAGTTGTCCAAGTGGTTTAGAAACTGGAAAACTTCCTTAGCCCCCAAAACGTGCAACTGTGTCACAAACACTGAGCTCATCTTCACAAGACCTCAACGAGGTGTCAGGTACTAGAATGCTGCCAAGTACAGGGTATTACCAGCCTGCAGTGGCATTTGAGAACCATGTCACTGCAAAGGGCTCAAACTTTTAGAGTTCAAGTTTAGCGATTACATTTTCTGAGATCTGTAAAGCTTCAGTGCTCTGCAGTACAGCACCTCCACCACCAACTGCTTTTTCAATTACCAGGTAACAGCAGCTTTCCCAAACTACGTTAATAACCCTCAATATTCACATCCTGTAGAACAATTCATTTCTACAGAAATACAAATGATACCAAATCCCTACTAGACCAAAGACTACAATTCAAGCTTTTTTTCAGTATTTGAAGCATAAACCATTATTACCACAAAAGCCAGAGGGCTGCCATTAGTCTGTCTCAGTTTACACATCCATAAAACAGATATTCTTGGGTATTTTGCAAGCTTCATGTGACACACTTCATAACAGCAAGCATTTACAAGCAGATGTACTTTACAGACCACGCCAATAAAGCCCAAATACAGCTAAGTAGCTTAATCAAGCTGACTTGCCTCTCAAAGCTCTGGAGTCCAGCTTCTTTTGTCTACGCAGCCATGACTCATTTGTAGCATATCAACTTAAATATATTCATTCTACAGCTTGCATTGTTCCTGCTACTGCATTTTACCAAAACATTTCATTCTGCCTCAAAAGCTGGCACCACTCTCTGCTTTTAGCAGTGCAAACCACCACAAGAGAGGTAAGGGGGAAACATGTCACCCGAAAGCAGAGGATTAGACATGGTTGTGATGCTACAGAATTCCAGCCTGTAATGATAATTCTATTTCTTATGGGCAGATTTCATACACAAGGTTTAAGTTACCTTTCAGCGTCATGCCATTTTTCCTCTATAAGCGTAAAAAAAAAACCCACCACAACAAAAAAAAAATCAGACTGCCGACTCCTTTCTTAAATGCTACTTTCATTACCAAGGGTAGGCGTTTCCACTTATTATTTGTATCCGCATAAGATTTCACAGCTCCCTCTCTTATCCAAATTATCTTTTTTTTATTAAAAACAAAAATTCAGGAACCATTCAGTTGCTCAGCACTTTGCTAGCTAGGGTCTCCCCAACTAAGCAGGCAGCAGAACTGTTCGTATCTCATTTTCATTTGGCTACCACTGAAGCTGTAAGCGATAGCTGCATCCCCTTGGCTACACCTTTCATCAACAGGAAGAGGCAAGTCGCTTTTGAGCGGAACCAAGGCTGAGCTACAAGGAAGAAACAATTTACATCTGAAAGCAATAGTGCTTTTGGGAAAATAAATTTTTTAAAAAAAAAAAAATCTGTTTCTGGAATTTCAAAGCCCCATTTTCTTGCTCAGACAGCTACTTGACACTTAAAAAGCACAAGCTTACAGTTCCACCACGGAGATGGCATCCTCCTTGGCGTGCCAGCACACAGGGCTGCAGTGCCATATGGCAAATCAGATCAGGCTGAAAGCTACCTCAGCAGAAAGTTATTTTTCAGCTGAAGTGAGAAGACAATCTCATTCACTTAGCACAAAGTCACTCTCAAACTGTAAAGCACGGAACAGTGTTTTAATACAGCAGACTACAGCTAGCACTATGACTTTCTGACACTGTGCGTAGCTTCGTGCTTACTTCAGTTTAATTACCAACCAAAATACAACTGTTCGCTCAATTTTAAATTATGCTCTGGTTCAGCGGCCTATACTAGCTGCTGAGTTCCTGAAACAGACAGGTTGAAGCCTCTCTATCAAATTGAATTTCAGAGTCTCAGCACTCATGTGGTACTGCTATGGGAGTAAGCAGCAAGTTAAAACCAAATCGTACAACAATGCCGTGGTCTGAAAAAGGAAGGAGCTGCTCTCAGTATTCACTGCTCCAACTTAATACTAATTTTTTGTCTTACACCTGCCAAATTCCACAAACTATCTGTTTCAACGGACCTCTTAAGGGATGCAAACATCCCTTTACTACGCATATGAAGAACAGGGATGCACAATGTTGAATGTGCCAACCTGCACGGGTTTTTTTAGAGTCTGGATGGAAACAAACTGACACCGCTCAACTACAGAGCATTCTCCCAACCTCAGCTGGGAGGCTTGGTTACAAAGGAGTTCAGATAATATTTTAAAAACTAAAATTTGCAAGACATTCTCCAGCTATTTGATATGTAATACATTTTCTGTACCAAATTATTCCCTTTTTCATTGCTTTTAGGCATAAGCAGCTTATAAGATTCAATATTCAAGTGACAAACTTTTCCAGTTAACAAAAATGAAAGGCCTAAAGTGCTTTACAAGATAACTCTAGTGAGAGAGACACATCTTTGAAACTAGTAACCTGAAATGCCTTGTAAAGACTTTTATCCCTAAAACCAGGAATTACAGGAAGTTCAGACAGTTCTGAGGACAGGTCAGGAGCTTTTAGTGCATTCAGGACAAAGAATAAAACTACTGAATTTTACCCAGCTTTCTCACAGCACAGACTACTCAGGCAGCATGCCACTCCAGAAGACGACTTTGTGTTCCCACTGCTCATCACATGCTGTACCTAAGGTCCTGACCTGCGCTGCCTGGTAACATGAACTGCCAGGGCCCACGCAGGATGAAGAAAGGTGTTGCTTTGTTTTAGTAAGCTGGGTTTAGTCACACCAGCCACGGAGGCAGCAGCCAGCCTTGATCTCCCAAGCTGCACCACTTTGGAGCTCAGTCCCTTGGCTGAGCTCAAGTTCCTCGCTGTGTTGCAACTCTAGCTGAGCTCGCAGGCAGGCTCAGCTCGCTGCCAATCGAGTCACCTTGCACTTCTTGTTGCACGTAACTCTAGATCAGAAAGCTGAAGGTGACTAACCTACTCATGGGCAAGAGAAAAAAAACCAGGCAAAAACTCCACATGCCGTGCAAGACAGCTGCAAATCCATTTCTTAGTTGTCTGCAAATGCACTCAGACCTTGTGGGGCTGCAGCTTTCATGCAGCAGGTCCTTCACAGCTGCCACCAGAACAGCTATTTTGGTTCTAGACCCCGTTTCATACGGTGCACAATGGCCAGAGGAACCGCCATTTCACTCAGCAAGCAGGCTCCTAACCCCAGAATCCACATGTGCTCTTTTTACACACAAGCACTCACACACAGAGTCACACACGTTAAAAACATTTATAGAGATTAGCGTAAATGTATGAGAACTGTGGGCTGGTCAGCAAGAAACGGTTCACCAAAGAGGAGAACCCACCACAGAACAGGGCCAGCTGCTACTAGATGATAGTAACTATGAGCAAAGATTGTCAGAGGTCCACAGCTTACCTGTTCTGTAGCTGTTGGGCAGTAATATACTAATAGCAGAGTTGTAAATATATTTATTAACAGTCCAATGATGGTGATCAGATTCGGGGCAATCCAGGCTGGAACTCTTCCAACTAACCATTCCCAGTAACCTTGCATTAAGGGTTCAAGCAGGGATCGTCCGGCACTCTGATATTTGTGTTCTTCTAACCGTTTCAGCTGGTGCTTTGACAGGGGAGGTGTAGGCAACTGAACTAGTTTGCTTAACACGCATCCAGCGGCAGGACTGTGACCGCAGCCCGCGGGGGATTCCAGGTGCGACTCCCCGCATCGTCTCTTTATGTTTCGATGCCCACTCATGGATTGGGCAGCCTCAGAATTTTTATTTGGCAGGTAGCAGCTGTTACGGAGAATCATAAGATCCTGCAACATAAAGGGTTGAGACACACTGAAGGTGAAGAGCACAAGTGAGATTTTAAGGTATCAAAAGCTTCTAGGTGCTGCTCTAAGGAGCATTTCATTTGCCGTCAGCAAACCAAGAAGGTTTTATAAGAGTTCTCCCTTAGGAAAGAAAGATATTTGGAGAATTGCTGAAGGGAAGACAGGAAACCAGCGTTCTCAATGCAGTTATAAAATGGTAACTTGCACTTGTTTACTTTCCTTGCTGCTTACTGAAGCAAATATCCTGCAGCCACCAGCCTAAATTTCAGCAGCAGCAGAAACTTACACCGCAGCGCTGACTTATGTTACAGACTAAGGCACCATCAGTCCCCCCGCATCTCTCTCCTAGGAGAGGTAGCCATACATAACAGGCATACACCACTCCAGGTTATCAACTGACGGCACTAAAGATTTCGCTGTATTTGTAGTGGTTTTAGTTTAACTGGTTTGAAGAAGCTTTGCCTCTTTGGTGAGAATGAACAACCACCTAAAGGCAGCTATAAGCATTTTTTTCAACCGCTGTTCCTTATTTCAGTTTTGCTGTGGCTTTTTTTCTTCTCCAAATTTAACCCAGTTCAGACGAAAGCTCATTATCTATTCAACTTTTAAGATAGGCAAGAAGCATACAGGAGCTACAGAGCTTTAGCTGGTCAAAGACAGCCTACAGACACCAGCATGAGGCAGCTGTGAAAAGAAAACACAGGGTCAGGAACAGCATTTCCAGCAGGAACAAGGACCCTCACGATGTTCCATCTCCCTTGAAGGTAGGTGACCAGAAACAATATAACTCCCCACGTGAACTAGAGGAAAAGCAGTAGAGAAAGGAGACTAGAAAAGTTTGCTATTTATCTACAAGAGCCAACCAGAAAAAAAGAAAAAAAACCAAAAACCTAGTTGTGAAGTCTAGCAGAATGAAGCTAGAGGGGAAGATGACAGCTCTAAAGCCAGCAGCAACGCACATACCAGGTAGGGAAAATAAACTATGTAAATCAAAGGTCAATACTGGCACGAGAACAAGTGCTCTCATTTCCACACTCCACAGCTTAATTAAGGCAATTTCCAACAGTGAAAAGCCAGCCCCAGAAAGCCCTGTCAGTGGGAGGAGACGAGAAAACAATCAAACAGGGCCTTGCTTATACAGGAACTTGCTAAGCTTAGGAGCAGGCAGGCTCGCACCCATTCCTTTATCAGGAAATCAGACCTAGTCACCCAGGAGGTCCCTGTGGGTGTTGTCCTGGATGACTCGAAAAATTGGTTCCAATGCAGAAAGATAAACGCTTTCCCTCTTTTCCTGAAGGGCCGCTCCCCCCGAGGAGAGAAAACAACCAAAGATCGCCTTGTCCTCCAAAACAAACAACCCCACACTGCCTAGCCTCCGCAGGACTTTCACCCGGGCCTGGCTACTCGCCGGCAAACACCCGGGGGAAGGGAGGGAGGACAAGGGCACCTCTCGGCCCAACCAACCGCTTCGCCCCCAGCCCGAAAGCGGCAGCCC